ATACCAGCCAGGTTTTCTTTTTTCAACTAGAGCATTAAAATGTCTATAGCATACTGGATTAGTGTATCCTGTATCACTTTGAAATTCCTTGATGTCTTGGTTCCCAACATTAAAAAAGTATTTGGTTTATTATTAAAACAGGAAAATAGTCATTTACAACCTCAGCAAAAAGCTACCTGACTAAGCTATAACCATTTCTGTACTGAAATAAACAGAGGAATTTTACAATGCACAAGTTCACTGGTTTCTCCAGCTTCTCACTCCAATAACTATCTTTAGTTTTCATGAAAAGGTTTACATAAATATACAGCTGTAATTTTTCATTTTGACAGATAAAGCTAAAACCTTGAGTAATAACTGATTGTAATTTGGTGGTTTTCAAGCATGGGAGGTGGAGATACTGTATACCTGTATACTGGTGTTGTGGGCAACATGGGGAAATGCCTCAACTACTAATAAGTCACAGGTTAGCTGACCTGCTGCTGCTGTTCTGAGCTTTACTTCTTTATTCAGATGAACTGAAATTATACAGTTTATAAGCTGATATTTGATGAGCCACGATGGCTATTCTTCAGCTCCGAGTCAGTATAAAGCTTTCAAATCATTAAATTGGACTTTAGCAAGAATCATAATATTAGATTGTAATCAATGACTCCTTCAAGTCATGCTGAAATGCATCTAGGCCAGGCATTCTGCGGCCCACTTAAAACCACAGTGTTTTAATGCTTTGATGTCGTGAACAAAATATGTGGCATATTGTCTAAAGTCTTAGATTTTGTCTTAAATCTTCACACTAATCAAAATATAAGAGAAAGTAATGTATTTTCTTTGAAACTTTATCCCAAAATGATCAACAATACAGACTGTTGGCTATAAACAGCGAATGCAAGCCAGTGATATGCAGAGTGTTAAATGGGAATAAATGATCCAGGTGCTTATTGGGACAGTTGCTTTGAAACATGGTCTAAATTAACTGCAATTTCATTAAAAACTATATGCACCAAATACCCAGTCGAAATTCATCTAAAAGAATTATTTCAACAAATCAGGTTTTAAAGCCTTTTGCCCGGGAGTTACTTCTCTCACTCCAGAATAATCCTCCATATAAACGTGAACATAAACTGCAGTGCTGTAAATTATATTGAAATTTTCATTTTATCAAATGTCAATGTTTGCTGAAAAGTCCCATCTTTTTACATCACAGTCACAACTTTATGGATAACACATGACAGTGGGTTAAACTTTTACCTTTGGCTGCCATCAGTGACGGTGGGCTCCATGGTGATGTTCTCCTCAGGATTGAAAAAAGGCCGCAGAGAGCCGTACCACATGTTGACCAGCGTGAGCTTATGGAAACCTGCACATGTGATAAAATACGATGGCAAAGGTTTGTCAGGTTGAACCAAGAAAAAGAACATGTTTTGTTTTTGCTTGCTTGAAGAGCAAGACAGGGAAGATGGTTTTTGTAGCAATCGCCGACCATTGTTATGGAGATCCTGCATCTTCTGATGTGGGACTGAAATACAGTCTAGGATGGTTGGCGTCTCTGTTTCAGGTCCACAGAAACTCGATCCTCTGAATACTTCCTGCAGCTTCTGCTGCTGCACCACCAATTCTACGAACAGGAGTAAAAAGGTTTAGATACATAATTCATCATTTTAATGCTTATAGTACATATTACAACTCGTGTTATATTCATTTAGTAACACACGTTTACACTTTTTCAGTAGCAGGTTTAAACCAAAGTCTCAAAACAATGACAATAATGTGAATTACAAAGACTGAAAACATCTTAGCAGAAAGCTAAGATACAGAGGTGGGAAGTAATGAAGTACAAATACTTTGTTACTGCATGTCAGCAGCACTTTCAGTTATCTGTACTTTACATGAATATTATTTTTTCTGACAACTTTTTACTTTTACTCCCAACATTTTTAACACAGATCTGTACTTTCTACTCCTTACATTTTCAAAGCAGGCCCGTTACTTCAGGCTCAGCAGTATCATTTATAGCGTTTATACTTAGCAGGTAAAACTGGGCCGAGTGCATGTGTCCATATGTTGTAGTCGAGCTTCTAGAGGAATAAACATGAGTAATGTTTCTACACAACCTAACATTTGTACACATTTTCACCCAGCCCAACAAACATCAGCAAACACACAAACTGTTTGTGTGCAGTTAATATCACATATAGTATAATCTTATAATAAAATATTAGTCATTCTCCCTGTGAATAATACGTTTTGCTTTCTTACTTTGAGTACATTTCAGAGACTGTACCTTTTCACTTTTACTTGAGTAAAGAAGTAGAATCAGTACTGCAACTTTTACTGGAGTATTTTTTAACTCAAGTATCTGTACTTCTACATAAATACAAAAATGTCTGTACCTTTGCCACCTCAGCAAGATAGAACATCTTCCGTAGCAACATTATTTCTATACTGCACCAAACCAGGACTTTAATCTAATAATAGACAGTTTCTTGTTGCAGAGGTGCTTCAAGCTTTAGAAGTTTTACAATTTTGTATTTTTACACAACTCAAACATCATCAGAAATTTAAAAAAGTCCTGAAAGCAAATAAAATAAACCAGACAAAGAAATGAGAGCAGAATATTAGATTGTAATTATTACATATCTGTGAGTGGGAGATCACATTTGCATTTAGTATCAGTGACTTTCAGACTAAATATTATGTTATTATTAGTGATAAGTTCAAACTAAAGATGTCACCCAGAAGCTACACAGTTGCCATTTTCTTAATCATTTTTCCACCAGAACTCTGAAGTGATAACAGGAAACTGAACACGACCTTGTGTTGTGAGGTTTTGTTGTCTTGTAGTTTTGTCTCAGACTCTCTATAATTCAATTACAATTCAATTCAATTAATTACACAAACTCACAACAGTCGCCTTGAGGTGCTTTATATTGTGAGGTAGACCCTACAATAATACACACAGGGAAAAACTGGGGGGGTCATATGATTGTTGGGTTGGGGGTCAGCTGCTTTATGGTGTGGCTAATAAAGTTCAGAGAATTTGTTAGTGACCATGTTTACATTTGGCTCAGTGAAGTTTGGACTTTACTCTCATATTTTATTTTTTATTTTCTCCATGTTTTATTTTTCAAGGCTAAGAGTGAGCATTGTTTACATGCTTATTGTTTTTCCATCGTGTTTTTTAATTGCTACGACCAATGCTGCATTCATGTGTTCTTCCAGTCAGTATATATTAAAAAAATACTATGTTATTTTATCCCAAGACCCAGACCGCATGCAGTGTTTGTTATTGATTCTTTGGAATTGAACTGAATTGTATTCAGTCTGAGAGCATCTGAGTTTTGTTACTTATGTTTCTAGTTTTGGTTCTTGTTTGCTTTCATCTCTGTTCCATTTTTCATGTCCAGTCTGTCTTTGTCTCGTCTCTGTGTCCTGCCTCCATCTGTCTGATCTGTGCTTTGTCCTTTTTCTTCCCAGTCTGTCATGTCTCCATCACTGTTTATTCCCCAGTTGGTTAAATCAAATGAAGAATTGAATTTATTTCTTCTCCTCACATACAAGGTCTTGAATATTCATGTCCCATCACAACTTAAACACCTCACAGTACCTTATCGCCCCAACAGAGCACTTCCCCCTCAGACTGCATCCTATTTGTGGTTCCTGGGTTTTTAAAAGGAGAACAGGAAACAGCTGTCATGCCATCAGCTGTCAGGACCCCTGTCTTGTAGAACCAATTCCCAATCTGGATTCAGGAAACAGACCATCTTTCTACGTTTAAGATTAGGCTTTAAATTTTCCTTTAAAAAAAAAAAAAAGCTTATAGTTATGCCTGGAGCAGGTGACCTTGAATACTTCCTTAGTGATGGTGCAATAAGCCTAGGCTGCTGTCGGCTTCCCATGATGCACCGAGTCTTTCTCCTTCACTCACCTCCTTTCACTACCTCTCTGTGTTTATCCACCACTTTGCATTCAATTGTTTGTTATAATTAATCCCTGGCTCTCTTTAACAGTCTGTGTTCTGTCCTGCTCTTTCTCCTCATCCCAAACCGATCGTGGCAGATGTCTGCCCCCCAGTTCTTTCTTCCTGTTTTTCACCTGATTGTTGGGGTTTTCTCTGTATTTTCGTAGGGTCGTTAATATAAAGCGACCTTACAATATAAAGCGTCTTGAGGAGATTGTTGTGATCTGATGATAGTAGATGACAGCAACGGACAGGCTGTAACAGGCTGAGCGAGTTAAAATGATGTCACTCTGCAGTGATTCTTCATATTCTTCTTTTCCATTGTCAGCCAGTGCTTGTTCGTGGGTGGGGGGGTCATCTGATTGTTGGAGGCTTCTCTGTATGGGACTTAATCCAGTCTCATCCTTGTCTTTGGACTTACTGTAAGACTTTGTTTTGATGGTGTTGCTTTACAGCGGGCCAATAGTGATTTGATTGGTAATGTTATTTTAATGGAGAAAGACAGAATATAAATTAAATATCTATATGAATACAGATCCATCCAGACATGCAGCCAAGTGATACACCCAGCATATCTACACAGCAAAATCTCCAGTGTTAAATTAACACTGGAGAGTGTCTATATGGGTCCACACCTCTGAGTGTTAAATACAACACTGTTGAGTGTTAAATTAACACCTTTGACAGTGTTATATGTTTAAAAGTAACCTGGTCAGTTTTGCAGATTAACAATGGCTAACACTGAGCAGTGCTGATCTTCTAACACTGGAAAATAACTCAAAATGTTAGAAATATTCCAGTGTTAGAAAATCAGCACTGCTCAGTTTCCTCACATATTGTGTCATATTAAGTTAGTGTCACATAGTGAAGAAAGGTGAAAAATTACTATACAAAGTGACCATCAGCAGACGAGAAGGCATATACTTAACTTTAAAATAAACACAGGTACACAGGTGTGCATTGTTTGTTCGTGGAGAATTTGTTGAAGCAGTAGCCAATCAGCTTTAATTGTCATAGTTGCACATCAGACATCAAAATCCACAGGACAATGGCAGATTTGACCATTTGAGCAGTGCAATAAGGAAGTGTCTAACAGATCAGTCTAAACATCGTTTGGATACAGTTTAATCCATCAGTGTCTGAATAATAACAGTGGATTTCATTAAAAACCATCCTTATAGCTCAAATGATACTTGTCAACTGAACTGGCTGCAGTTCCTAAACAGCTAATTCAATAGTTTTGTTAAACAGTGTCTTATGATCCATGTTCATGAATACACGCTGGAAAAAAGGTCTACGATCTTAAAATTAAAGCTAAGATACATTCTGCAGTTAGTCATAGTATATCATTTTGTTAAACGTGTATTTGATTATCAGTACAAAACTCCTTTTTATGTTCTATTATTGTGTTTCTGTCATCACTGGTGAATAGATCTCATCTTTCTGAAGGTCATTTGTTACATAATTGCATTTTTTCAGAAGCTTTCTAAAACTGCTTGATGATGAAGCCAGAGCCTGCATCTGTTATACCTTTGTGTCCAAATTCCTCTGCTCTATTTTCACATTTAAGCCATTCTAATGTGTGTGTGT